GTTATGTTTAGTACATAATGGAAAGGACACATCTGCCCTTAGTACTTGCATAATAAATAAAGTAAATAAAACTGAAATAAATGGCAACTGAATTAACAAACTGACTCAAACTGACACTACTATAACTGAAACAAATAACTACACTGCTGCCCTACGAACACAGTGGGGACCACTGCAGTGGGGCCCACATCAGTGTTCTCTACAGAGGTAACCAAGGCTTGCCAAATAGTCATGTGCTCTTCTGGAAAACAAACTGACAATGATGATTTCTTTAGGCAAACCATTTGAGGAGAACCTTTAATCTGCATAGTCTGTACATTAACTGGTACATCTTTATAACTGGTCAGATTGAAACTGTGGGACTTTATAAACTATAGAGAAATATCTTGTTGAAATATTTCCCCAGTGTACCTGCTCCTGAACTCTTTGCCTAAACTAGTATCTTATGTTCAACCCTAACTGAAATTTTGTTTTTCTTTGCATATTCAAGAGGCTACTATGCAATCTATTCTTCAGCTGTTTTTCCCTGCAACTGATCATATTCATGCCACAGGATTTCCACCCTTGCAAAAATGCCTTTTTGAGATGTTCCACTGCTGAATTCAGTTCTGATAACTAGGCCTAAAACCAGCATGTGGGACATGTATTCTATGAACCTTTATGAGAAATCTGGTCTTCTTCTGCATACATGAATTCTACAAGCTGCTTCTATCATTTTGGCACTCTTTTATCTAATAGCCCTAGCTTGTTTAAGTTTGAAGTATTTTGAGAAAGAGAAGAAGAGGAGAAGAGAAGAGAAGAAAAGAAAAGAAAAGAAAGAATACAAGAGGAGAGGTGAATGAGAAAAATGGGTGGCTGCTTAGGTTCTATACAGCCCAAGATAGCATTAAATGAAGCTTAAAAGACATGAAAAGTACAAGATTGCTCCTTATTAGACGGGCAGTACATAAACTGACTTTAAGATTAAATAACTTAGGCCCAACAGACCCAGTAAGAAATAAACTGAAAAAAGTAACATCCCAGCCCAAACAACATTAAAACTTAGAACACTCTCCCCTCAAGTTGAGAATAGATATCTTTTTTTTTTTTTGAAGAATAAAGAAAAAAAATGTTAAAAATAAAAGGGAAGAGCAGCTCGGAAAGCCCAAAAACCCCATTAAACCCACAGCTAACAAACAAAAGCTACACCCAAACGATTCTGAGAGATGCTCAAAACAGGCCCGATGACTTCCAATTATACAGCAACCAACAGCCCAACGATTATCCAAAAGCAGAACCCCCCCTCATCGATGAGACTATCCTCCTGGATTGAGTCATCCTCATCCATTCCTTTCTCCCTTCCCGAAGGACTTTCTTCTTCAATTTCTCTACGCTTTCTCTTCTTTCAAACTCCTCAAAGGCTCTTCTAGCAAACTCCTCACCACCTCAGAACATCAGACCCAGGCTTTTCCCAATCGTGACCTCTCTATCCACTAATTTCTGGATAGTCACCCCTCCTGAATCTCCGTCGATAACCTCCTTATTTTGCGGCAACTAGATTGCATCAGAATTAGATTCTACCCCCTCAACTTATTTTCCTGTTGACTCTTCATCGAAAGAGGGACTGATGACTGAATTTGCATCAGTTCCTCCCTATGATCAGTACCTTGTGTCTCGTTTCCTCTTGTTTTTTTCCCTCCTGTACATCCATTGTATCTTTTAGTAGGTCCAACCCCTGGTAGGTCAAGTTTTAATCTTGAAAAAATCTGTCATATGCACAGTACTATGGTTTCGTGCATTATGCGATTTCTTGACTTTGCTCCTCTTCCTTTTCTTCAGGTTTGCTTTTTCAGCCCAAATCAATGCCCAAGCATCCAACCTTCACTTCCACATATTGCAAACAATCTTTGATGTGATTTACAGCCTGAGCTCCAGAGAAATCATCTACATCTGAGACTTCCTTACCTCTGATCTCACCTACATTTTCCAATTCAATTTTGATGCTATCGCTCCATTTCCCAATTTCCTTCTTCCCCCCCCCCCCCGAGGCGCACTCTACCAGAGCCAGAAAGTCTGGAATTTCCAATTCACTAGCTACTAGCGACACAGAGACATCAACCCTGTGCTCGGATGAAGCACGAGTCTCAATGGAATCTCTACTGGCCTGAGCAAATTGTCCAGTATCATCGAACACTGGAGAATAAGGGCATTTGTCAAGATTTGCACCTGTTTCACCAACGATCAACTTTTTGCTGCTTTTTTCATACTTTGGTGATCACCTAGATCCATCTTTCTCCCTTTCCTTCTATAGTCTTGATCGAGACGTTCCTTCCTAAAATTTCCTTTTCTTTTGAAGATTGGTCTGTTAATCTCTAAGGACTTACTGTTACCGCCTTTCCTTTTCCTAAGCTGCTTTTCCTTCATGCCAAACCGCACCTCTACATTGAGATATTCAACATCAACTGAAATTCTGCTTGGGCTTGGCAAAGTCTTGTGCCAAAACCCTGAACAGAGGAGGACGATGATGGTTCGAGCATCACAGTTCGAAAGATCTCTCTCATGCCCTCATGGGGGTTTCAACGAATCCACTTGCTCTGAAAACTTCAGGGATCCTTTCTTGTAATGTAAGAGGAGATAAATCTCCTCCAATCGAGCTAAATGCTGGCCTCATCACCCGTGTCACATGGTTGCTTAAGTGATCACCTGCCTAGCTCCTGCTTACCCATCCAGATCCTAAATCCGGATTTGCCTCTAAGGGGCCTGAATCTGATTTAATTTCAAATTCTTCTGTGGTCCCAACTTATTGTGTGATGTGGCTCCACCCCTAATAGTCTCCACTAAAGTTTTTTCGCTTAAACCTCGCTCTTCATTTTCAAAACTTTTGGTCTGCAGAATTTAATTTCCGAAGTCTTTCCGTCTAACCCATGTGACGTCTGTTCAGTTTCCTTCGACATTTGTCCACTCGCTTTCTCCCCTTGCTCCATTCTTTCTTTTCCACGTGTAATCCATCCTTCACTGCTATCATCATCTTCTTCCTTAGAGTATTTCGTCCACAGTGATGCTTCAAATTCCAGGCAAACCCAAACCTTTAGCCAGGTCAGGGACCGTCTGCAAACAGATTAATGCATCTAGGAACATCTTCAGGATTCAGGCCTTAGGTTCTGACTTTTGTTATGTGAAGATCTTGAAGATTAAACGCTACCATAATTCCACCCATAGTTTGAATTAATTTTTCAAGGAATTCCTCAGTCCAGAGATTAAACAGAAGTCCCACAAGCTGAAGCTCAAGAATTCCTTCAGAAATAAACAACTGATTACAAGACATGTACCATCTCGCTGCCTTTATTCCACCATCAGGAGAATCCACCAATTCAGTGATGTGAATCACTACTACTTCACCATCTGCGACTAATACAGCCTTCGAATCGTCGAAAGGTTTAATGTTCACACGGCCTTTCAAATTGAAACTCTCTTCAACCACCTTCGCAATTCTTCCCAATCAGTGAGTTTTTTGGCAGATGATAAAATCGCATTCTTCTCCCAAGCTCCTTTCTCCACCCAAGATGGTGTAACACACTGAAGAAATCAGCCAAACTCGAGCTCCAAGCTGAAGATGGCACAACCCAATTCAAGAATTCGATGTAGGTTAACTTTGTGAGAATCGAACCTTGCTGATTTTCACTCCAATGGACTGATTGTATCTCCAATGGTTTGCAGCTGTTAACCACTTGAGAGACTAGGGTATTTGCTGGAGAAACTCGGAAAAAAGAGAGAGAGAGAGAGAGAGAGAAAGGATCTCCTTCAGCCTTGGTAGACATTGTTAAAAACTTAAAATAGAACACAATCACCCAAAAACACCAGCAGCTCAAAACGACACCCTACCGCCCACCTAAGGAAGCAAGAAACTGATACAGTAATAAGTTCAGGAGTCCAGAACAATTGTTGACAGTCCGAAAAAAAAAAAATCCCAAATAACACCTGTGAACAGCCCAGGAATCATCTCATACAAATTCTGGGTGCAAAAATAACAAAAAACATAGAGTTTCTTCACTCCCTAGTAGGCCTCTGAAGCAGAACCTCACAATCCAGCATCCACCAATGCCTCTCCTTCTGCTGTACAGGAACTAGACCTGAAACTCAGGTCTCTCTGGCAGTTCATAGACTGCTCAAAATACTTCTTCTTCTTCATACCCTAGTAGGACTAACCAAAGCTGCTTATGGTTCACTGGGTTTCTTCTGCAGGAAGAAACCCTAAGAATAAGGTAAGATTATTCCTTAGTGGTCCCTGAACATATTAGGAGAACTTCTAATGCTCTGATACCATGAAGTATTTTGAGCAAGAGAAGAAGAGAAGAAGAGAAAAAAGTGAAAACAAGAAATGAAGTAAATGAGAAAAATGGGCAGCAGCATTGGTTCTTTCCAGTCCAAGATAGCATTTAAGTGAAACTTAAAAGACATGAAAAGTACAAGATTGCCCCTCATTAGGCGGGCTGTACATAAACCGACTTTAAGTGTAGAGTAACTAAGGTCCAACAAACCCAATAAGAAAAAACTGAAACAAGTACAGCCAGCCCAAACAACATTGAGACTTACAACAAAGTTATCATTCTGTCTCCTTTGACTCCATCATTTTATCACTTGCTTGCTCTCTTGTAACTGTTTTTCTCCTTTCCAGGTTAGAACCATAGATCCTATATCTGGAAAGTCTGCAACACGAGAAACAAGTACCATGCCACAATGGGCAGGTTCCTGCTGGTAATATGTTTCTTTATTACTTTCAGTATATATATAAAATTTTCAATTGTTAATGAAATTGAAGAGGACCATGTATGCTTGAATAATCTTCTCTGATAGCTGATAGCTATTTGGAAAATCAATATCCATTGCTGGCATGTTAAACCTGAAAACCTATTTGTTCACTAAGGGGTGCTCACCAATATGCATTATTTTCATGTTTATATGAAAGCATAAACTATTGAAATGGTTCCTTTTTTTTGGAATTCTAACACCATACAACTACAAAAAATGGGTTTAAAGTGTTGCCTTTGTTAATAAGTAATGTTTAATATGAAAATGACATTAATCTTGTACATTAGTTGTTCATTTATGTTAAATTAGCTAGGGGATAAAAAGGAAATGTTATGTAGAAGTGTCCCTCAAGAAATATTTTAAAACTGTCGTTGACCCGGACGGTTGAACTGTTTGACTCGGAAACAGGTACTATTCTGTTCCCATTTACCCTATGAACTGTTATTTGAAGAAAAATGTTGAACTAGTCAGCGAATTGCTGACCCAGACAGTTGAACTGTCAAACTGTTCAACCCGGGTAACGATTACGGGCCGACTTTAATATAATTTAAAATAAATACAGAAAATGACACTTATGTCCTAAACTAAATTGTCTATATAGAAATAAGGTTTTTTGGTATTCGTTTTTTTCTTTCTTGACTCTTGAGTGGCTGCAAGAGGCCTGCTTCTGTAACTCTTCTATGCAACACCTACATCCAGTTTTCAAGGTTCCAAGGTGAGGCTAGGCGACAGGGGGGCACTAGTTGCCTAGGCGATGGATTTTTTTTAAGTAAAACCATATATCCTAGGGTAGTTACCTTGGTTCCATAACCATCTTTTCCTTAATAGCTATCCATAATTTTCATAAGAGAAGTATAAATTTCATGTTTAAGTCTAGAAAATCAACATTTTATGAGAAGAAAAAGAACAAAGGAAAGAAAATAAAAAATATAGGGGCTGAACCCCTACTTTTGTTATAGGAAAAGAAGAAAGAAAAGGTGGAAGAAGATGTGGAAGAAGAAAATGTGTTGATTAGACAAAATTTTAAGTTCTTCCCTTGCTTATTGGTTCAGGTTTTGAAATCTTTGAGGGTTCAATCAAGGACCAAAATTTTGATATGATACACCCCGTATTGGGTGTATTGTATTGTATCTTTGGGGTCCCGATACACCTGTTTACAGGTGTTTTCAGGGACCCTTTTTAAAATAATATATATATATATATATATATATATTTAAAAATGAAATTGAAAACCAAAGAAATAAAAAAATAGTGGGAGTATCGTTATAAGTACTGATACACCTCTGCCGATACACAGATACTTTGAACCATGGGTTCAATACAGAAGTTAGCAATGTTTGTGTTGGTTAAACCCTAACAAATAAGAAAATAATAAAAAGAAATTAGTATATAAACACAAAATGAATATTCTAGTTTAATAATGTCTATTTTATAATTATAATGTCAAAAAATTAAAAATATTAAAAGTATTTTATAACACAGTGCAGAAAACTGCTTGGTGACTGGGTGAGGCGACCCTCCAAGGGCGCCATGTCGCCTAGGCGTCACCTTGACAACTATGGCTACATCCCCAACTCTAGAAGTGACCTACGGGCTACATCCGTTTGTCAGTCGCCTACATCTGCAACCCTGCAACTTAGAGGTCGAGACAGCCTGACGGAGTGACGGGAATAGAGATTCTTACCTTATGCTATGGCAACAATCTCTTTGGCTTCAGTGACCAAAAAATAGCCGCTATTGGCGACTAACAACATGCAAATGCAAATTTGCAACTCTACATGTCTTCTTCTTGGAGAACAACCAGCAAGAAAAGATGGGGATGGAATGGAAGCCCCCAGCTCCAAACAAATTAAAGCTGAATTTTGATGGGAGTTCCATAGGAAACCTGGGATTGGCAGGCATGGGCGGTGTGTTCAGAGACTCAGCAAACAAAGTGTTGGCAATGCATTCAAGGCCTATAGGGGTTGGCGACTCAATAAAGGCTGAGCTACTAGCACTTCTTCAGGGGTTAAAACTACACAAACAAGCAGATTTTAAAAACTCTGAGGTTGAAGGGTACTCAAATCTGGTGATCTCTTGGTCTAACGCCACGGGTAATGTTCCTTGGATTTATAGACATTCCCTGCGAGAGATTGAAAGCTTAGCAAGGGAACCAAATGCTTCTTTCACATGGATCAGAAGGGGACTGCAAATGGGATGGCTGACTTGCTAGATAAACAAGGGCAGGAAGCAACTTTTCTGGGCATTATTGTAACACATTCTGCAATATTGATTGTGTTTTTCTGTTTTTTGTGTTCTGTATCCATTTCTATCTTTAATTAATAAAATTAATCTTTCCTTGCTGATCAGAAAAAAAAATAACCAGCAAGAACTGAAGGTTGACCACCAGGAATGATGTTCAAAAACAACTGCAAACGATCTTCAAACTTTTCAAACCTTGATTTACTTTCATTGTCTTTGAGAAATGTTTGAAACCTCAGTGTCTTTAATAATCAAAAAGAAATAAGGAATCATACCTTCTGTCAGTTCAGCTACTTTATCTTTTTAAATATATATTTTTATCACCTTATTTAAGATGCAATGGGTTGAACTGTCTGACCCAAACAATTGAACTGATGACCCAGAAACTAGAGGCCAAAGAGATTCTGTTCCATGTCGATTTTTAAAACATTTCCCACAAGAATCCATGTAGTTTCAGAATCTGACACATGTTTGATGTGGACATATTCATTTAGAAGAGTCCATGTAACACTACAAAATCATTAATATTGGTGAATAGCCCCTAAGTCGACACTTGGATAAGGTGAACTGAAATGAAAAATAGCTATTAAAATAACTTTGATCACATATTCTATGCATGTTTCTTACTTCGTGTACACTATTATATGTTTAAAGCTATTTGTAAGTTGTAAAGCATCTTCTTCAGCAAAGATTTTTTTGTTATTTCTTGTATGAGCTTTGTTGAAATAATTTAGTTGTTGGTGTTAGGGTCTTTTTGGCTAGTTAAAGTGTTTTTTATTTCTATTTTTTTCGCTTCTGTTATGTCTGTTATTGTGCTCACTTATAGCAGGGGCACAAGGGTCTTTTCCCTTCTTATTTCTGCCGCCCTATATATATTATAATAAAATCTGGCGCCGCCAGCACTGTTACATTGCAAATCCCTTCTCTTCTCTTCTCCCTTCTCTCTTCTTCTTCTCTTCTCTTCTCTTCCTCTTATTTCTGGCCGGCCATACTGTCAAGAAGCTTGTTCACATTATCTACCATATATTGGAATGTCCTATCTTTGTTGTTTCCATGCAATCTTTTCCCATCTTTATTGTGAAATTGGATCTGGTTGCTGTCATAACTGCACGTGCAAATGGTGATGATAGTGATATGCAATGGGAATATTGTTGAACTGAATGTGAAATCTGCTTGACTTGGGTCCATGTGAATTACTTCGAAGATAATGAAGAAAAATTATAATTTCTTTGAAGATCTAGATGAATATTAACAAAGATGAAGAACTTGCTCTCATCATTTGCTAGGCATCATGATGAGCCTAGTTTTTGGAAGGAGACTTTGATAATGCAATTACTTGGGATTCCTGTGGAAAGGACCTTGGAGATATCAGTGCCACATTGCTTGCTAGATTTCATGAGCTTAAAAGTTGAGCACAGTGGAAGGGCTCAGCCCATGTATTTTGATCATGCCCACAGATTTTTTGAGCCTTCCAAATTGAGCCTGACAACATTTTCTCCTTCCTCTGTCTTCTCTCTTTTGTGACCAATTGGATCTTTTTTTTTTTTGTCATTAAGCAATTCTTTTCCCACACAACTAACATCTTCATATGATACCCAGATACCTATACAGGGATGCTTTATCATGTTGAATGCTTCAATTTTTTCAGTAATATATCCAGCTGTGTTCTTTCTGTATCCGGCTAACATAGTCTCGCACTATGTGTTTCTTGGTCATACTTGCAAGAGTAACTTTACCTTATTTTTTATGTTCTGATGCTTGTTCATTAAATGTAGAATGCTTTCAGGTACTATTCAAAATTTTCACATCCTATAGTGATATAAGATTTATTCTTCTTTGATGTTCGTTAAATGTAGAATGCTGAGCCATGAAGTGCCTTGTGAAGTTTTACATTTTTATATATATGCTTTCAGGTACTATTTGAGATTTATGGATCCAAAGAATTCTGACGCATTGGTTGATAAGACAAAAGAAAAGTAAGACTAACTATTACTCACACATTCCATTATTGTATTATTTTCCTTGAATGGTCAACATGGTGTTCTGTTTGTCAAATATTTGAAGTAGAAGCACATCCTATTATATTGATGTGTAAACCATTTCATTATTATTTTCATATGCAGGTATTGGAGCCCAGTTGATGTTTATGTTGGCGGTGCTGAACACTCTGTCCTTCACTTACTTTATGCGAGGTTCTGGCACAAGGTTTGTTTTATAAATCCATCTTGGCTTATGTTCAGGGGCTAGGACATAGTATTTATCTTGATTACTTATGTCTTTTGTGATTTTGCCACTGAGATCATTAGCGTATAGGTAGGCACTACAAGTGTGTAATATTAGTGTCCAGATTTCAATACCATACTTGCATACACTAGAAAAAATAGAGAATGGAACTTTTCCCCTCATAGTCTCTGCAGGATTAGAATTTTGAGAAGAAGATATAAAATTCATTTACATTCATGCCACTCCTCAAGCTCATTCCTAATAATTATCCTCTGGTCCTTTCACTTACTAGATATAAGGCAATATGATAAATTGTTGAGTCATGCCTTGAATTCTTGTTGCAGCCTGCTCCATGGCCCAACCTGCATTTGTGGGGAAAAACCCTGAGGCAAAATTTCATAGTGGTCTGTGGTGGAAGTGGAGACAACTGGCGGTATGGACCCGATCCATTTTCAGTTTATGGGTCCATCCCGAATACGTTATGTTGTTAGGGCTTTCTTTATTATGTAATTTTTGTCTTGCACAAGAAGATAGAGAGCAAGGAGTTAGTTAGGGTGATCCATTGGGTGAAAACTTTGAAAATTTTTTATGGAATTCCAGTGGTTGATTTGAGAAGGAAGTGGAGAGAAGTGGCTGATTCTGAGCCATTTAAGGAGTTAGTTATGCCTACTTGGTCTCCCCCTAGTAATAGATTCATCAAGCTAAATTTTGATGGTAGTAGTGTAGGAAACCCCCGGCCCTCAGGTATTGAGGTGTGTTCAGGGATGAGGATGGCAATATCATGGCTCTTTTCTCTGCGCCCATTGGTGTTGGGGTCTCGTTAAGGGCAGAAATCCTTGCAGTGTTGGAAGGAGCCAAGAGAGCCAAAGAGCTTAACCTTTCTAAGTTACTAATTGAAGGGGATTCTAAGCTGGTTATTGGCTGGCTTCAAAAAGAGGAGGAGAGGGGACGGTGGGGTTACATCAATAAAAAAAGGAAATTTAGACATTTGACACAAGGAATGGATATCAAGCTGAATTGAGTAAAGAGGGATTCCAACTCCATGACTGTTGCTTTAGCTAAACAAGGGGTGGGAAGAAAAACTAATCTCTGGGCTATATTGTAATCCATTTTCTTGCTTCACTCTGGGGGAGTTAAGAGAGTTTATCTCCTCCTTATTTGCATCTTCTTTTTATGATTTATTAATGAATTAATGAATTTCAGTTATTGATCCAAAAAAAAAAAAGAAAAAAGAAGATAGAGAACAACTGAGCAAGTTAGAGAGTGAGAGCATAGGTGTATTGGGGTTTAGGATTTTCTGAGAGAGAAGAAGTTGCTCAACTATTGTATCCTCCATTGTCAGTTTTCTTTAGTTGATTCTGCTCCTCCATCGCCAATGGACATAGGCAATAAGCCGAACCACGTAAATGTGTGTGTGCTCTGTTTTGGTTCTCTTTATCTCTCTTTTACTTCATTTTCTTTGCACTATCCAAATCCGTATTTCTAGGTTTTTACGCAACATAAATCATGGGTGTTTTAGATGCATGCTGAATGTTCTAAGCCTTTCCCCGCTCTTAACATCTTCTTGCTAGAAAATGAACGGATTGGCAAAACTGGATTCATGTAGCCGACCCCATATAGTTGGGATAAGGCATGGATGATGATGATGAGCTTCAGTAGTTATATCAGTTTAAATATTTATACATAATCAAATAAAGCTCAATAGTTTCCCATAAAAAAAAGTAGTCATATGCATTGCCTTTTATGATTCATAAGCAACTTTAAACAATGTTGTGTAATTAATTCTCCAAGAAACAGTTATTTGGTCATGTAGAAGCATGGTACATGGGAATGCACTATTGACAGGAACTCACAATCTCATAGAGAATTATATATTGCTGGTGATTCCTCAACCCAAGCTCAAATTGTTCCATTTTGGTTAGAAATATTCAGAACCTAGCACAATATTATCTTTATAAGAACTATTCCATACTACAACCTAGTGCTTCTTGATAAACTAATTATAATCTGCTTCTCTTTTAATTCTCTTTTCTGTTTGATTCTCTTCTTTTGTCCAATAGTTTATTTTGGTTTCTTTTGAGAAATCAGGATGCTTAATAATTGATCTTGATCCACTATTCTTGTTGTCATACCTAATTAGTCATCTAATCTTTCCTTTTCTAGGATATGACAAAAGCTTTTGTATTAATTAACTGGATATTGAATCTTGATATTTGCTTGTGTAATTCTTTTAAGACTTTATTGGCCTTTTTCGGTTTCAGGTGCTTTATGACATTGGTGTTGTTTCAACGAAAGAACCCTTCCAGTGCCTCATAAATCAGGGGCTAATACTTGGGGAAGTAAGTAGAGTTTCTTTCCCATGTGAAGTGATGTAATCCATAAGATCCATAAGAAAAATTCTGATGATCTAAATTAACAGGTTGAGTACACAGCATACAGAGACCTAGAAGGGAAGCTAATATCTGCAGACTCTACTGATGTTCTAGGTGAGCTTCAGCAAGAAAGAGTTCCAGAAGACAAGGTTTGTTTGCCTACCTGCATAGTATGTCATTTGTTTCTGCAATAGTCCCTTCAACTCTTGAAATAGGATAAATCATACTTTTCTATGACAGTATCATGTTATTTATTTGCTTAAGAGACACCGTTTCCCCTTTTGTAGGTAATGAAGTCTGGTGATTACTTTGTGCTGAAAGATAACCCAAACATTCGTCTGATTGCACGGGCTCACAAAATGAGCAAAAGTAGGGGAAATGTCATCAATCCCGATGATGTTGTTGCTGAATATGGTGCAGATTCTCTTCGCTTATATGAAATGTTTATGGGACCACTAAGGTAGTGAAATTGAGGTTTACATTTCATCATGTACTTATTTCGCTGATCATTTGCACCTTTTAGCTCTTCTCTCTGGAGATTTCAGAGTTAGAGCACAAATTGGATCTGTTTTCTCTTATGGCTCTCTGACACATTCGCTTTTGTAGAGATTCAAAAACATGGAGTACCAGTGGTATTGAAGGTGTCCATCGATTTCTAGGGAGGACTTGGAGGTTAGTTGTTGGTTCACCTTTGCCTGATGGATCATTCCGAGATGGAACGGTGGCAACTGATGATGAACCTACTTTGGAACAGCTTCGCACTCTCAACAAATGCATTGAGAAGGTTACTCTTTTCTGAACTTGATGTAGTTATTGGTGTTAGTTTTCTTTCATTATCTTAATGCCAACTCAATTTTTTTTGTTAGTGATAATATTCGTTCTCAAAGCAGTGCTGCTAGACCTATAGCATCATATACTATGCTCTCCTTCTTTGTGGTGGGCCCTTTGTGGTTAGCATGTTATGATTTCTTCATTTGTTTGGAATAGATTGTTGGAGGAGGAGGTGAATAAGTCTATGGTGAAGGGACCTGGGTTTGGCAGGTAGATAGGATAAAATCACTACTTATCAGGTTTGTTCCTCAGTGTAAAATCAACAAGGACTGTTCTGTGGGGGAAAGGGGAAAGGTGTGGGTTCTAGTGGTAGGATTTTTTTATAGCAGAATAATAAGAAAATTGTTCCATGTTAAATTGTTAATGCTTTTTGGTTGGGGTTCTAGGTCTATTGAAATGTAATTTAGGGGTTTTTACTTGAGAAAGGAACAGGTTGAGATTTCATGGTTGATGGTGGCCATGCTTCTTCTTGATGGTTAGTAGTATCTGTGGTAATGTTGTCAAAATTTTTGTTTTAAGGTCTGTCAGCAAGTAGGGGTATATCTTGGTCCTTTTGTATAGGATGGGCTCTTTTGGGTGGCAGGTTTTGGTCCTTTGGATTCTGTCAGGTCAAAGTCAATGGCTACTATTTACCAGTTACCAGTGGAAAAAAAAAAGAATGAATGAAAAGAAAAGAAAAAAAAGGCTATCCTCATATAATGTGTTTTGTGTATATATGTGTTGCAGTTATTCCTGCGTGTCTTGTTTTTATATTTTCTTAGGAGCATTGTAACTATCTTTCTTAATGACCTAATTTTATTTGCAGGTAACAGATGAAATTGAAGGAATGAGATTCAACACTGGAATTTCTGCAATGATGGAATTCATTAATGCAGCATATAAGGTCTTCCTTCACAACCTTAAGAGCTTGCTACCTGGCTGTACATGTTATGATTTCTAGGGAGCTTCACTTGCTACTCATGTTGGCTCAACTTGTACCAAATAACTGACCCATCCTGACTTCAAGGATGGGTATTGCTCGCTTTTTTTGATACTAGGATCTGCTTGACCAAAGAGATAAACATCTGGCTGAGGAGTTGATGATGCCTGAGTTGAGGAGTTAAGCAACCACCCTAACCCAAGCTCGATAATGTAACAGTCCCATCATACATGCATATACCCATATAAACAGATTAACTGTGTTATTTATCTGTTTAAGGCATCACAGAATCTCATCTCTGATGCCATAGGGATGTAATCTCCTATGATGTTTTGGTTTATCAAGCAATGGTGTTGTGAATACCCATTTGAAGTTTTGGTTTCTACTGGTTGAGGTTTTGGCAGTTGGGATTTTCTCTTATGTTTTCTAATCCTTCCCCCCCCCCCCCCAATAAAAAAAAGCCACCAAGAAAAAGAGCTCCCACTTTTTTGTCTCTTATAAGTTGCCATTAGGTTTTTCTTTTTATTTTTTGCTGTGTTTTTCTTAATGTGATGTTATTTTTGTACATTATTGCATTAGTCTGGCCTAGATGGTATTTTTTTTGTTTACTATTATTTCTGTATCCAACTTGAGTTGTTCTTGGCATATTATCTAACCAAACCTTCTATGTTTAATGTTTCTAGTGGGATAAGCATCCAAAGTCAATAATTGAAGCATTTGTTTTGTTGCTTTCACCTTATGCGCCACACATGGCAGAGGAGCTTTGGTTTCGGCTTGGACACTTGAACTCATTGGTGTATGAAGGTTTTCCTGAGGTATGTGGCATGCATGCTGTTAGAATCAACAGTAGAAGGGTAGTTTGGTCATTTGTCTATTTAATTAAGGATGAGTTGTCTATTTTGTCTGGGTTTAAATTGTGTGTCCCATACTTAATGAGGGGCATATTTGTCTTTTGTAGTCTAATGCAAGGAGTATAAATATAAGGTGGGTCAGTTGAAAGGGATGGACTTTTCCTCTTCTCAGACCGAACCCTTTCTTCTTCTTCTTCTTCTTCTTCTTCTTCTTCTTCTTCTTCTTCTTCTTCTTATCTCAGACCTAGGACTGAACTAGTGTTAATTGAATCTTTCACATGGTATTAGAGCACTAGAAAATCAGTCTAGAACTTAATTTCTTTCCTTCATCCTTGGATCACCATATCAGAACTTCCTGTTGAAATAACTCCCAAACTAATTGGAGGATCAATAAGGGACCAAAAAGGAGTGGTCGCTTTTCCTTCTTGGAGGTAATTATGCCTCCAATTGCTGTGGTGGTGGTTTGCTAGAAACCCTCTAATCGATGACTCGAAGAGGGCTGGTTGTGGACAGGTGTGGACAGAACTCTCTAGTCAACTGATAATGTAGTGTGTTCTCCCTCTTTTGGACTGGATTTCATCCAAGTGGCAGTGCTGATTGATAGGTATGCGTATGGACTGTTTTTCTCTCTTTTTATGTCTGAATATGTGTGGTAACAGTAGGGTTTCTGGTGCTGAACCTATGACAGCAGCAGTGTTGTAACAACAGTGTTTTATTGTGTGGTGTGTGGTCTAGTGCTGAATAGTGAAGGGTGACCTTGTCTCTTGTAGTTGAATCTTCTTTTGGTGTGTGGTGATTTTGTTATATTGGCAACAACTGAAAAGGGTAGTGATAATAAAACCAGTGTTATCATTTCCCCCGATTACCTGAATGTTCAAATGACCTCTATCAAATTAAATGATGAGAACTATGTGCCATGGCCTAAATCAGTGGAAGTGTTCTTGAGAGCTGTTATGCAGGAGAGAAGAATGGAAGAAGAGAGAAAAGAGAGAGAGAGAAGAAGAGAGAAGAGAAAAGAGAGAACTGAGAGAAAAAGATACTGCTGGCGGTGCAACTTTTTTAATACATATCCTAGGGTGACAACAACTAAAATAAAAAGAGTAAAAGTACAATAGTACCCCTGTGGTACTATACATAGGAAAAATAACAGCTGTTAACACTCCCCCTCAAGTTGGGACATAGATGTCAATCATGCCCAACTTGTCACATAAATCATGATGTCGTGAGTGGTGTAGTC